AATGTGTTATCTAAAACGAGGTTTCGCTCGATATAAGGAACTTCTACATAGAGAAGTCCTCGGTATAACGAATGGTTTTCCCTACCCCAGTAATAGTAAACAGTATTTGAAAAAGAACCTCTATATAACGAAACCTTAGATTGTAGCGAACACATTTTGTCAGTCTCTCAGCCCTTCGTTATATCGACAGGTTCCACTGTATCGAGGTTCTTTTTTATATATTTTACTGTTACTGGGGTGAGGAAAATCGTTTTTTATATCGAGGACTTTGATCGTAATGTAGAGGTTCGTCATATCGGGGTTCCACTGAACCTAAATCATTAAGCATATGTTATCCGGGAACAATCTATCTTTTCTGGCAGAGTAAAGGGTGGGTCGCTGTTTAAGGTGATTCCTTAGTAAAAGAACCTAACATAGATTGTAAATGAAACTTGGTACACTGATGTAACAAGTCAAAAAGAAGATAAAAAAGTAATAAAAAGTGGGGGTCACCGTGCTCGTTTTGACGTCACAATTCTAACAAACACGGCTATTTAGGACCCTTTGGCAAAATCCGTTCGTAGCCGAAAGCCAGACAAAAAGGAGAGATTTTTTCCATGATGCAAGTGGTATCGCACAGAATTTGACTTAAATGTATTGTTTATCTACTTACGTACCAGAAAAATGCCTTTTAATGCCCTTGTTTTTGCTTTACATCCCAAAGTAGACTTAATTTGGGCCTTTATGGGCTCAATCCGTTCAATTTAGTAAAACTGCCAAAAAAACTGAACGTACATGTATGCCAATTTTTTTTCTCATTGAAAGGAAGCACTGTTCTTATTAAAATCATGAAAGAAAAATGGCGGTCATCGTACTCGTTTTTGCGGCAGAGCTGCAGACAGTGCGCACCACATGCATTTCCTCCGATTATTGAGAGAGGACTGGGGCGTGTTTCAAAATGGCGTGTATGTGGAAGGGGGGAGAAGGCAGTAAATAATCCGTTTTTTCAGAATTTACATGGAGATATCACAGTTAGGACGCAATGTGATAAAGATGGCGCTTAAATGAAAATCAAAGTGGGAAACCACACCTTCAAAGTCCACTATCGAGGTTCTACCTAAGAAAGTCGAACTCAGTAACACGCGTATTGCTTACGTTATGCACATTTCCAACACATCATCATCATCTCGGCAAGAAACAACCACAAACGAAAATTCTAATAGCGTTTCTCTTCAGTCAACTTCATTTTAATAATGTTACTTTAATTTGGATGCTCTTTTTACGGCGGCCACCTTAATCCAACTAACATGCAAAAGTTCTCCTTTCTGAGCTTACCATAGTTTTTAGCTCATACATTACGTAGATAAATAAACGATTGATTGCATGGTTGATAACCAAACCTTGTGTCCGGTCAAATAATAGAAGGCGCCCGCCTGATGTGTGGGTCGCATAATTCAGTTTTTACTGTGTCTGCGACTTTCACGTTCCCATAATGCAACTTGGTTTCCCCACTAAATTTTGGATAAGTTTTGTTTTCAGTTTTTCAAGAGACGATTGTTACTCCCAAGAGAAATTGAAAATAGTTCTCTCGCAAAATCTTGAGGGGAAAACAGATTGTATTAAAGGGAACGTGAAAATCACAAATGAAGAAACGACGAACGGATCTCTCGTGTACATTATTTCGTCTCGTGTCGGCGTCAGCGCCCTAACGTACACTCAGTTAATCTTCAAAAATTCAGGCCTTCTAACACTGAAACATTTCAAACCTTTTTCTTCAGGAATGTGAGGTGGGACCAGGCCAGGTTTATCAATCAGGCGAGGATTTCATTCTTGGTTGCATCGGATCCTGTACGTGTGGAGGGCCCTTTTACACGTGTGTACCGTTGTGTCCCGCGGAACGGTGTCCTCCTGGCACCGAAACAGTCTACGAGAACAGAGAGGTTGCAGGAACTGACTGCTTTTGCCAAAGTAAGTGATCAATTCCGGCTCTCAAAAAAGTGTTTTAACCCGACTGGATGGCCCTTTTAAACTGCAAGTAGTGCAATGTTTTTAATAAGCTGAGAGAGCAGTATATTATGGCACGAGCACAGGGAGGAGACAGGGAATGAGCTGAGAGGTAGATAAGCGTAGAGATGCCTCCTCTCGCGTTTGACTCTTTGAGTCCTCAAGTGCAATGCTTATCCGTGCGACATACAGTCGAACCTCTCCTTTAGGACACTTCCATTAAGCAGACCCAAAGTTTGGTCCCGGAACAACGCTCACATAGTCTTTGTATCTATTACCACTGTTGAAGGGACACCTCTATTCAGGGGATTGGGAAAGGGACTTTTTTTCTGGGTACCAAAACCTGGGTTTAACCTCCATTCAGGGGACACCTTAGCACTCAAAAAGTGACTCACTCTGGATACTAAAGGGGTTGATCTCTTTAAGTGTACGCAAGGTAAAAGGTAATAACAATTATGGAAGCTTTCACAAACAGAACTATCTCGCTTAAATCGCTGAAATGCACTTGTGTGTGTGAATTTAACATTTAATGTCACAGAGTGAAGATGATGCAATTTCTTTATGTTGTCTTTCTTGGTTTATTATTAACAACCCCCCGCCCAACCTCCAGTCATGGGACACCTCTATCCAAAGGACACTTGACTCTGTCCCAAGGGTGTCCCTGTACTCCTTCTTGCTTTAACAAGAGTGTTCATTGTTGTGGCAATTGTGGCTTAAGATGAAGCTGAACCTAAAATAGAATTGAAGCCCATTGAAATACAAAATGAGACGCTTCTCATGTTAATCTTTTGTCTCGTTCTTAGGGATTAAGGACTGTCTTCAAGCTTCATTGTAGCTGAGGCGCTAAGCTGCTAGTAAACAGACATATATAGCATGTCACATATTTTAATCTTTATGATAAGGACTCTACATGTTGTTATCTCTTTATGAAATTTATCTTCAATAAATTAATGTGAGTATCAAGGAAATACGTGTGGGCCTTCTGTGCAGATCCTACTGGCTTCATTGGTGACGTGAAATCTCGCGAGCTAAAGTTCTAGCAGAGTGAGGTGTGAAGCCTTGCGGACAATGGCGGGGAGACGCTTTGAATTTTCTGGCGCCATCGGCGCTCGCGCATCGCTTCTCGCGGCAAAGCCGAAAGAACGAGTTATTAAAATCATAGCGGGGCTCCCGCGCGCGCGAAGCGCGCGTGGGACAGAGCCCCATACTCATGAAATATGGTCAACCTCTTTTTGTTTGGTCGTCACGTGATTGACCGTACGTACGCGTCTACAGATTGTACGGGTGGGGTAGGGGAGACTATCAAAAGGAAGGGAGGAGTGTCTCAGGCGTGTCTTTGCAAGTCCTCATCTTTTATATAGGCATTCTCAATACGGTTAATTGACAGCTGTCAAAACAGGATAGCCACTGACCAGTATCCTATGACAGTATCGTGGGCTCATGTAACAACTCATCGAGGTGACGTGATTTATTTGGAAACTGTCTGCTGACCAGTTTATTGTTTTACTAGATCGCGAACAATGTTCAATCTCATACTTTTTAGCTAGTTTGGAATTGGAGCACAGGAAAACTGATACACATATTGGACATCAATGTTGTGATCAATTGACAGCTGTCAAAACAGGGTATCCGCTGACCAGTATCACTTGGGCGTATCGCAGGCTCAGGTGTCGACCCATCTAGGTCGGTAGGTACTTTAAGTAGGGTTATTAAACTGTATCATGAAATATATCAAAATAGCCATGTAATGCCATGAATAGCCATATAATGTCATGTATAGCAATGTAATGCCATGTATAGCCATGTATAGCCATGTAAACCCACGTAATACCATGTATTGCCATGTATTACCATGTATAGAAATGTATTGCCATGCATTACCATGTATTGCCATGTATTGCCATGTATAACCATGTATAGCCATGTATAGCCATGTATAGCCATCTATTGCCATGTATTACCATGTATAGCCATGTATACAAATGTAATACCATGTATAGCTATGTATTACCATGTATAGCCATTTAATGCCATGTATAGCCATGTAAAGCGATGTATAGCTATGTATTACCATGTATAGCCATGTATTGCCATGTATTACCATCTATAGCCATGTATAGCCATGTAATGCCATGTATAGCTATGTTTTACCATGTATACCCATGAAAAACCATGTATAGCCATCTATTGCCATGTATAGCCAAGTATAGCCATGTATACCCATGTAATGCCATATATTGCAATGTATTACCATCTATAGCCATGTATAGCCATGTACTACCATGTATTCCCATGTATTGCCATGTACTACCATGTATAGCAATGTATTGCCATGTATTACCATGTATAGCCATGTAATGCCATGTATTACCATGTATTGCCATGTATTACGATGTATAGCCATGTATAGCCATATAGTGCCATGTATTGCCATGTATTACCACGTATAGCCATGTATAGCCATGTAATGCCATGTATAGCTATGTATTACCATGTATAGCCATGTATAGCCATGTATTGCCAAGAATTACCATGTATAACCATGTATAGCCATGTATTACCATGTATAGCCATGTAAAGCCATGTAATGCTATGTATAGCTATGTATTACCATGTATAGCCATGTATAGCCATGTATAGCCATGTATTGCCATATATTGCCATGTATTACCATGTATAGCCATGTATTGCCATGTATTACCATGTATAGCCATGTATACCCATGTACACCCATGTAATGTATTGCCATGTAATACCATGTATAGCCATGTAATGCCATTTATAGCCATGTATAGCCATGTATAGCCATGTATCACCATGTATAGCCCTGTATAGCCATGTATACCCATGTATTGCCATGTATACCCATGTATTGCCATGTATACCCATTTATTGCCATGTATTACCATGTATAGCCGTGTATAGCCATCTATTACCATGTATAGCCATGTACTGCCATGTATTACGATGTATTGCCATGTAATACCATGTTTAGCCATGTATTACCATGTAATAACATGTATTGCCATGTATTACCATGTATAGCCATGTATAGCCATATAATGCCATGTATAGCCATGTATAGCCATGTACTACCATGTATTGCCATGTATTGCCATGTATTACCATGTATAGCCATGTATCACCATGTATACCCCTGTATACCCATGTATTGCCATGTATTATCATGTATCGCCATGTAGTACCATGTATAGCCATGTATAGCCATGTAATGCCATGTATAGCCATGTATTACCATGTATAGCCATATATTGAGATGTATTGCCATGTATTGCCATGTAATGCCATGTATTACCATGTATAGCCATGTATAGCCAGGTAATGCCAGGTATAGCTATGTATTACCATGTATACCCATGAAAAGCCATGTATAGCCATCTATTGCCATGTATAGCCAAGTATAGCCATGTATACCCATGTAATGCCATATATTGCAATGTATTACCATGTATAGCCATGTATAGCCATGGACTACCATCTATTGCCATGTATTGCCATGTATTACCATGTATAGCAATGTATTGCCATGTATTACCATGTATAGCCATGTAATGCCATGTATTACCATGTATTGCCATGTATTACAATGTATAGCCATGTATAGCCATATAGTGCCATGTATTGCCATGTATTACCATGTATAGCCATGTATAGCCATGTAATGCCATGTATAGCTATGTATTACCATGTAGAGCCATGTATAGCCATGTATTGCCATGTATTACGATGTATAACCATGTATAGCCATGTATTACCATGTATAGAAATGTAAAGCCATGTAATGCCATGTATAGCTATGTATTACCATGTATAGCCATGTATAGCCATGTATAGCCATGTATTGCCATATATTGCCATGTATTACCATGTATAGCCATGTATTGCCATGTATTACCATGTATAGCCATGTATAGCCATGTATACCCATGTAATGTATTGCCATGTAATACCATGTATAGCCATGTAATGCCATTTATAGCCATGTATAGCCATGTATAGCCATGTATCACCATGTATAGCCCTGTATAGCCATGTACACCCATGTATTGCCATGCATACCCATGGATTGCCATGTACACCCATTTGTTGCCATGTATTACCATGTATAGCCATGTGTAGACATCTATTACCATGTATAGCCATGTATTACCATGTATTACGATGTATTGCCATATAATACTATGTATAGCCATGTAATGCCATGTATAGCCATGTATAGCCATGTACTACCATGTATTGCCATGTATTGCCATGTATAGCCATGTATCACCATGTATAGCCCCGTATAGCCGTGTATAGCCATGTATTGCCATGTATACCCATGTATTGCCATGTATACCCATTTATTGCCATGTATTACCATGTATAGCCATGTATAGCCATCTATTACCATGTATAGCCATGTATTGCCATGTATTACGATGTTTTGCCATGTAATACCATGTATAGCCATGTATTACCATGTATACCCATGTAATGCCATATATTGCAATGTATTACCATGTATAGCCCTGTATAGCCATGTAATAACATGTATTGCAATGTATTACCATGTATAGCCATGTTTGCCATATAATGCCATGTATAGCCATGTATAGCCATGTACTACCATGTATTGCCATGTATTGCCATGTATTGCCATGTAGAGCCATGTATCACCATGTATAGCCCTGTATAGCCATGTATACCCATGTATTGCCATGTATACCCATGTATTGCCATGTATACCCATTTATTGCCATGTATTACCACGTATCGCCAGGTAGTACCATGTATAGCCATGTAATGCCATGTATAGCAAAGTATAGCCATGTATACCCATGTAATGCCATATATTGCCATGTATTACCATGTATAGCCATGTATAGCCATGTACTACCATGTATTGCCATGTATTGCCATGTATTGCCATGTATAGCCATGTATCACCATGTATAACCCTGTATAGCCATGTATACCCATGTATTGCCATGTATACCCATGTATTGCCATGTATACCCATTCATTGTCATATATTACAATGTATCGCCATGTAGTACCATGTATAGCCATGTATAGCCATGTAATGGCATGTATAGCCATGTATTACCATGTATAGCCATATATTGAGATGTATTGCCATGTATTGCCATGTAATGCCATGTATTACCATGTATAGCCATGTATAGCCATATAATGCCATGTTTAGCCATATATAACCATGTATAGCCATGTATCACCATTTTTAGCCCTGTATAGCCATGTATACCCATGTATTGCCATGTATACCCATGTATTGCCATGTATACCCATTTATTGCCATTTATTACCATGTATCGCCATGTACTACCATGTATAGCCATGTATAGCCATGTATTACCATGTATAGCCATATATTACCATGTATTGCTATGTAATGCCATGTTTTACCATGTATAGGTATGTAATGCCATGTATAGCCCTGTATAGCCATGTATTACCATGTATAGGCATGTATTGCAATGTATTGCCATGTATCGCCATGTATTACCATGCATAGCCATGTATTACCATGTAAAGCCATGTAATGCCATGTATAGCTATGTATTAGCATGTATAGCCGTGTATAGCCATGTATAGCTATGTATTGCCATATATTGCCATGTACTACCATTTATAGCCATGTATTGCCATGTATTACCATGTATAGCCATGTATACCCATGTATACCCATGTAATGTATTGCCATGTAATACCATGTATAGCCATGTAATGCCATTTATAGCCATGTATAACCATGTATAGCCATGTATCACCATGTATAGCCCTGTATAGCCATTTATTGCCATGTATTACCATGTATCGCCATGTAGTACCATGTAAAGCCATGTATAGCCATGTAATGCCATGTATTACAATGTATTGCCATGTAATACCATGTATAGCCATGTAATGCCATGTATAGCCATGTATTACAATGTATACCCATGTAATGCCATACATTGCCATGTATTACCATGTATAGCCATAAATACCCATGTAATAACATGTATTGCCATGTATTACCATGTATAGCCATGTATAGCCATATAATGCCATGTATAGCCATGTATAGCCATGTATAGCTATGTATTACCATGAATTGCCATGTATTGCCATGTATTACCATGTATAGCCATGTATCACCATGTATAGCTCTGTATAGCCATGTATTGCCATGTATTGCCATGTATACCCATGTATTGCCATGTATAGCCATTTATTGTCATGTATTACAATGTATCGCCATGTAGTACCATGTTTAGCCATGTATAGCCATGTAATGGCATGTATAGCCATGTATTACCATGTATAGCCATATATTGAGATGTATTGCCATGTATTGCCATGTAATGCCAAGTATTACCATGTATAGCCATGTATAGCCATATAATGCCATGTTTAGCCATGTATAACCATGTATAGCCATGTATCACCATTTTTAGCCCTGTATAGCCATGTATACCCATGTATTGCCATGTATACCCATGTATTGCCATGTATACCCATTTATTGCGATTTATTACCATGTATCGCCATATACTACCATGTATAGCCATGTATAGCCATGTATTACCATGTATAGCCATATATTACCATGTATTGCCATGTAATACCATGTTTTACCATGTATAGGTATGTAATGCCATGTATAGCCATGTATAGCCATGTATTACCATGTATAGCCATGTATTGCCATGTATTACCATGTATCGCCACGTATTACCATGCATAGCCATGTATTACCATGTAAAGCCATGTAATGCCATGTATAGCTATGTATTACCATGTATAGCCGTGTATAGACATGTATAGCCATGTATTGCCATGTATTACCATGTATAGCCATGTATACCCATGTATACCCATGTAATGTATTGCCATGTAATACCATGTATAGCCATGTAATGCCATTTATAGCCATGTATAACCATGTATAGCCATGTATCACCATGTATAGCCCTGTATAGCCATTTATTGTCATGTATTACCATGTATCGCCATATAGTACCATGTAAAGCCATCTATAGCCATGTAATGCCCTGTATTACAATGTATTGCCATGTAATACCATGTATAGCCATGTAATGCCATGTATAGCCATGTATTACCATGTATACCCATGTAATGCCATATATTGCCATGTATTACCATGTATAGCCATAAATACCCATGTAATAACATGTATTGCCATGTATTGCCATGTATAGCCATGTATAGCCATATAATGCCATGTATAGCCATGTATAGCCATGTATAGCTATGTATTACCATGAATTGCCATGTATTGCCATGTATTACCATGTATAGCCATGTATCACCATGTATAGCTCTGTATAGCCATGTATTGCCATGTATTGCCATGTATACCCATGTATTGCCATGTATAGCCATGTATTACCATGTATACCCATGTAATGCCATATATTGCCATGTATTACCATGTATAGCCAAGTATACCCATGTATTAACATGTATTGCCATGTATAACAATGTATAGCCATGTATAGCCATATGATTCCATGTATAGCCATGTATAGCCATGTACTACAATGTATTGCCATGTATTGCCATGTATTACCATGTATAGCCATGTATCACCATGTATAGCCCTGTATAGCCATGTATACCCATGTATTGCCATGTATACCCATTTATTGGCATGTATTACCATGTATAGCCATGTATAGCCATCTATTACCATGTATAGCCATGTAATGCCATATATTGCCATGTATTACCATATATAGCCATATATACCCATGTAATAACATGTATTGCCATGTATTACCATGTATAGCCATGTATAGCCATATAATGCCATGTATAGGCATGTATAGCCATGTACTACCATGTATTGCCATGTATTGCCATGTATTACCATGTATAGCCATGTATCAACATGTATAGCCCTGTATAGCCATGTATACCCATGTATTGCCATGTATACCCATGTATTGCCATGTATACCCATTTATTGCCATGTATACCCATATATTGCCATGTATACCGATGTATTGCCATGTATACCCATTTATTGCCATGTATTACCATGTATCGCCATGTTGTACCATGTATAGCCATGTATAGCCATGTAATTGCATGTATTACCATGTATAGCCATATATTAAGATGTATTGCCATGTATTGCCATGTAAGTCCATGTATTACCATGTATAGCCATGTACAGCCACGTAATGCCATGTTTAGCCATGTATAACCATGTATAGCCATGTATCACCATTTTTAGCCCTGTATAGCCATGTATATCCATGTATTGCCTTGTATACCCATGTATTGCCATGTATACCCATTTATTGCCATGTATTACCATGTATCGCCATGTAGTACCATGTATAGCCATGTATAGCCATGTAATGGCATGTATTACCATGTATAGCCATATATTGAGATATATTGCCATATATTGCCATGTAAGGCCATGTATTACCATGTATAGCCATGTATAGCCACGTAATGCCATGTCTAGCCATGTATAACCATGTATAGCCATGTATCACCATTTTTAGCCCTGTATAGCCATGTATACCCATGTATTGCCATGTATAACCATGTATAGCCATGTATCACCATGTATAGCCCTGTATAGCCATTTATTGCCATGTATTACCATGTATCGCCATGTACCACCATGTATAGCCATGTATAGCCATGTATTACCATGTATAGCCATATATTGCCATTTATTGCCATGTAATGCCTTGTATTACCATGTGTAGCCATGTAATGCCATGTATAGCCATGTATTACGATGTATTGCCATGTAATACCATGTATAGGCATGTAATGTCATGTATAGCCATGTATTACCATGTATACCCATGTAATGCCATATATTGCCATGTATAACCATGTATAGCCATATAATGCCATGTATAGCCATGTATAGCCATGTACTACCATGTAGTGCCATGTATTGCCATGTATTACCATCTATAGGCATGTATCACCATGTATAGCCCTGTATAGCCATGTATACCCATGTATTGCCATGTATACCCATGTATTGCCATGTATACCCATTTATTGCCAAGTATTACCATGTATAGCCATGTATAGCCATCTATGACCATGTATAGCCATGTATTGCCATGTATTACGATGTATTTCCATGTAATACCATGTATAGCCATGTAATGCCATGTATAGCCATGTATTACCATGTATACCCATGTAATGCCATATATTGCCATGTGTTACCATGTATAGCCAAGTATACCCATGTAATAACATGTAGTGCGATGTATTACCATGTATAGCCATGTATAGCCATATAATGCCATGTAAAGCCATGTATAGCCATGTACTACCATGTATTGCCATGTATTGCCATGTATTACCATGTATAGCCATGTATCACCATGTATCGCTCTGTATAGCCATGTATACCCATGTATTGCCACGTATACCGATGTATTGCCATGTATACCCATGTATTGCCATTTATACCCATTTATTGCCATGTATACCCATGTATTGCCATGTATACCCATTTATTGCCAAGTATTACCATGTATCGCCATGTAGTACCATGTATAGCCATGTATAGGCATGTAATGCCATGTATTACCATGTATAGCCATATATTGAGATGTATTGCGTTGTATTGCCATGTAATGCCATGTATTAGCATGTATAGCCATGTATAGCCATGTAATGCCATGTTTAGCCATGTATAACCATGTATAGCCATGTATCACCATTTTTAGCCCTGTATAGCCATGTATACCCCTGTATTGTCATGTATACCCAGGTATTGCCATGTATACCCATTTATTGCCATGTATTACCATGTATCGCCATGTACTACCATGTATAGCCATGTGTAGCCATGTATTACCATGTATAGCCATATATTGCCATGTATTGCCATGTAATGCCATGTATTACCATGTATAGCCATGTAATGCCATGTATTGCCATGTATAGCCATGTATTACCATGTATAGCCATGTATTGCCATGTACTACCATGTATCGCCTTGTATTACCATGCATAGCCATGTATTACCATGTAATGCCATGTATAGCCATGTATAGCCATGTATTACCATGTATAGCCATGTATTGCCATGTATTACCATGTATAGCCATGTATTGCCATGTATTACCATGTATCGCCATGTATAACCATGTTAGCCATGTTTTGCCATGAATAGCCGTGTATAGCCATGTAATGCCATGTATAGCCATGTATAGCTATGTATTACCACGTATAGCCATCTATAGCCAGGTATAGCTATATATTGCCATGTATTACCATGTATCACCATGTATTACTATGTATAGCCATGTATAGCCATGTATTGTCATGTACAGCCATGTATTACCATGTATTGCCATGTAGTACCAAATTGTATAGCCATGTATTACCATGTATTGCCATGTATACCCATGTAATGCCATGTATTGCCATGTATTACCATGTATAGCCATATACTTTATAGCCATGTATTACCATTTATAGCCATGTATAGCCATATGTAACTATGTGTTGCATGTATTACCTTGTATAGCCATGTATTACCATGTATACCCATGTATTGCCATGTATTGAGATGTACTGCGTGTATAGCCATGTATTGCTATGTAGTGCTATTTATTACCCTGTATTGCTATGTATTGCCAAGTGTGGGCATGTATTTACCATGTATGTCTTAAACATACATACATACTTTATTGGCTTGTCCCCACGGGGCTTTTCAGTGTGAATGTTACATTACAAAATTAAAAACCAAGTACATGATAATAAGAATATAACAATGATAAAAGAAGACAAAGGTCAATAAAATTAATTAAATTAATTAAATAAAGCAGTCATTAAGAAGCTTTTGCCTGAGTAAACACTTGAATTCCGTCACGGATGGGCTAAGTTTGAGCGCAGGCTGCAACTCATTCCAGAGAGAGGTTGCTCTATATTGAAAGGTCCTTTGGCCGCTGGCAGTGCGGAAGAGTGGTATGTTCAAAAGTTGAGAATTTCTCGTATTCCTTGTCGAGACGGCGGATCTTCCAACGAGCTTTGATGTCAAATACTCCGGAGCACAACTCGTCATGCACTTAAAAACCAGAACAGCAAAACGAAAATAAAGTTGTTGCCTGATTGGTAGCCAGCGCAAGTCTTTTAGCAAAGGAGTTATGTGATCGAATTTTTTAGCGCCGCTCAAAATACGACAAGCGAAATTCTGTACTGCTTGGAGCTTGTCCAGATTAGTTTGAGTAGTATTGCTCCAAACAGAAGAGCAATAGAATAATTTACTAAAAACTAAGGCATTTATAATAATAATTAGCGCGTGTTTATTAAAAATATGCTTAACGCGGTTAATTTGACCCAAACGTGACATGCATGAGGATACAGTAGAAACAATATGCTCATTATATGTTAAGTTAGAGTCCAGTGTGACACCAAGGTCTCTTGCAGCCTTAACGGGCTCGAGTTCCTTCCCCAATAGAAATAGCCTAAAGTCGCTAACCTTAGCAGTCATTTGCCGGCTGCCGAATATCACTAGTTTTGTTTTATCTGGGTTGAGTAAAAGCTGATTATCAAAGCACCAATTCCTAATGCTTAACAAGTCCTTGTTCATTTTTTCTATCGTTTCGTGCTGATCGCGGAGTTGAAATGACATGAGAAGTTTGGTATCGTCGACGTAACACTGCGATGTACAATTTTCTGGCACAGAAGGGAGATCATTAACGTAGATGTTAAAGAGTAATGGGCCAAGGATGCTCCCTTGTGGAACGCCAGAACTAACAGGTAGTTTGGTCGACAGAGTTGTATTTATTCGCACAAATTGGTATCGCGAGGTTAAATAGCTTCCGAGCCATTTTATCGCAGGTCTGGACGCACCAATGTCCTGTAACTTAGCGAGGAGTATTTGATGGTCAATACTGTCGAAAGCTTTGCTTAGATCAAGGAGGACAACTGCAGTCAGTTTCTTTTTGTCAATGGCATTTAGGATTTCGTCAGTTGTTTGAATGACAGATGTTTCCGTTGAATGCCACTGTTTATTTCCGCTTTGTTTGGATGATAAACGGCCTCTCGAAAGTAGATATGACGTAAGTTGATTGTGAGCGACACGTTCACAGACTTTAGAAAGGACAGGGAGTAATGAAATCGGTCTATTATTGTTTGGAATATCGTGGTCTCCAGCCTTGAGTATCGGTGTCACTTCAGCTGTTTTCCAGGCCAAAGGGAAGGTGTCAAACTCAAAGGTAGCATTAATAATAGACGTTAACGATGGCAAGATAGCAGGCAAACAATCTTTGATCACATGGATTGGGATTTTATCAATCCCAGGGGCCTTACCACTGGCCATTGATGTGACAATTTTTTGTACCTGTTCGCACTTCACTGCGTTGAAGGTGAACTGCTCTGACAATGGGTAGATTCTCGGAATAAATGAACATTGATTAAGAGTATAATTCGATTCCTCTGCCAATTTAGTAATTCTATTGATGGTACTCTTTCCTACAGAGGAAAAGAAATTATTAAATTCATCAGCAACAATTTTGTCATCTTTGGAATAATTCCTTTGAGAAGCGGACTTCTTGGGTATGCACAAGCGGATTGCTCTCCAGAGGCAATTAGAGTTGTTTTTGTTGTTTACAACTTGCTCCGCGATGAATATTTTCTCAGCCGTCCTTATTTCATGTTTGACTTCGCGACAAAGGTTTTTGTATTCAGACCAAGCATGTGGATCTTTGTTTTTTTGGGCTACCTTCTTCCAATGATCTCTAAGTCTCATAAGGTCCCGAATTTCGCATGTTACAAAAGGGTTGGGACGTCCACGAATTTTGACTGTTTTGATGGGTGCATGTTCGTCTAATACATTGTTGAATAATAGGTTAAACGCGTTCAATTTATCTTCAGGATCATCAAAAACGTCCAAAACGGACCAGGGTACTTGCGAAACGTCAACAAGAAATTGATCGGGCCGGTAATGTTTGAAGCACCTTGTTGTAATATAAGTTGGCTTTTGACGTTGATTTTTCAAGCGGAGTGTAGCGCAAACAATATCGTGATCGCTTATTGAGCACGGTTTCACGATTGTTTCCCGGACTTGTTGCTCGTTTGAGGACAAAATAACATCTATAAGTGTTTCAGTGGAAGGAGTCACTCGAGTTGGTGTTTTAACCATCTGAGATAGATTATACAAGCGACAAAAATCAAGTAGAGCTCTGGAGTCAGGGTTTTCAAGATTTAAAAGGTTACAGTTTAAATCCCCTAAAATGTATATTGTTTTGTTGTGTAAAGAAGCAGCAATAAAGCTAGGAGTCAAATCAGTATCAAAGCATCTCACTGGTACATCAGGCGGCCTGTAAGCAGTACAGATAACTAGAGAGCGAAGGTTGCGTACTTGGACCTTAATCCATAGCTGGTGGAAACCAGCAACCGATATACCAGAAATATCCCAAAGAACTTCAGTCTTGTAGCTCTGTAGAATATAAACACAAACGCCACCACCTTTCTTGTCCTGTCTGTCGACACGATATAAATCATATCCTGGTATTTCTAGCTCCAAGTTCGTGACGGAATTATCCAGCCATGATTCAGAGATAGTTAAAATGTCGAACTTGTTTTCGAGCACTGTCTGTTTGACTTGGATAAAGTGATCTCGGCATTTCAACGACCGAACGTTTAAATGAGCTACTGTGACATTGTTACGCGTCTTGTTTGCTTGCCGTTTGGAAGTTCCTTGATTCGGTCCCGGGTTCAATTCGATGTCGTGTAGCAGTTTAATAATCGGATGAAAGGTAAATACACAGTCGTGATATCGGGTAGTTGGGGTCTGCGACCTTTTTATCTTCGCCAGCACCAGTAGCCGTAAGTTAGTCCGCCATGTTGTTAGATGAAAAGCGCGGTATTGAGCATTCTGGAAATTCGCATTTCCTGTGTATTCCCCGAGATATTTAGGATCATGATATGCTCCTCGAGTCCTGTGAGAGCTTTTCTTCTTAAAACTTGTGGTGTGAAGTCGAAGTAGAACAGATAAGCTGATCAATGTGATCAATATGACAGAGCAGGAGAAAACACGTCCGACCGCCATTTTGCTTTTCGCAGGTACGAAGTTGGATTAAAGTCAGTGAATTGAAAAGTCTTTGTTTTGTCTGTTACAAAGTTCAGGGGTAGCCCAAGAAAAAGCTCTTTTTCCGAATGAAAATATAGTTTTTTGGGGAGGGCAACGTTCTTTCAGGATTGTAAACGGACACTAGTTGACAAAGATATTCAAGTGCCATTCGTCACTTTAGAAAATACTCTCGTTGAAAGTCAGTTAAGAACTTATTGGTCCCGAAGAGCAGGGATTTCGCCCATAAGGCGAAATTCCGAGGAGGCACTCTATTAGCTCGCCCGTTTATCACGGAAAGTACTTACAGTTGTTATTTATAGTCAGTATACCAGAAAAAAATATCGATTTCTTTTATAGATAGGGGCCGCAAGGGATAGGGGGTTAACGTTTTCTTTTGTTCCCACCCGTAGTTATAGTGTTAAATTCAAATCGGCATTCGTACATGCGTAAAGAACAGTGAATATTTCAAGAAAACATCCATTCAGAACCTCTTTGTTTGAAAAGATTTATAACAATTTTAAAGGCATAAAATTTATTTAAAAATTCAGGACAACGTACTAAGCCGGCAAAAATTTCATCACTGACTGGCCGTAAATTCATAGTATGCAAGATTGCAGAAATAAATCTGAAATCTGAAAATAGGATTTCCATATAATCTCAAGCTAGCACAATACCGTAAAATTCAGAAAAGAAGACCCTCAACGTATAAACGCATCCGATTTTTTATGGCATTACATGGTAATGCATGGCAATACATGATAATACATGGCAGTACATAAGCACACATGGTAATACATGGTAATAAATGGCGATACATGGCAGTAATTGGCTATACATAGCAATACATGGAAAGACAAGGCAACACAGGGCTATATACATGGCAGTACATGGTTATACATGGTAATACATAGCAATACATGGCTATACATGGAAGTACATGGCGATACATGGTAATACATAGTAATACATGGCAATACATGGCAATACATGGCATTAAATGGCTATG